TAGCCTCTGTGATGCTAACACCAGTTTATCTATGCTAGTTGGTAGCCTCTGTGATGCTAACACCAGTTTATCTATGCTAGTTGCTAGCCTCTGTGATGCTAACACCAGTTTATCTATGCTAGTTGCTAGCCTCTGTGATGCTAACACTAATGAATAGTCTCCTTCTCATTTGCCAGCACTGTCCTGTCAATCACTGGTTGCTCAATAGTCTTAATTTTGTCCCTCATGCTGCACCATACAGGTGAAGCTTTAACTTCAACCCTCCCAGATGTTTTCTTCAAATCTTTCTTTCTTTGTTCCTGTAAACATTCTTCATTTCTCCATTTGGACAGCGTCTTTAGCTTTTCATTAAGTCAGAGTTGAAACTGTAACAGACTCCGTGCTGCTGCTGTAAACTGTAGACAAGGACTGATATCAATCAAACCATGTAAAATAAAAAGTCCAGTATCACCTGGATGAGTCTGCTGGTGACCACAGGTGAGTCTGTCTGTGCTGCAGGTATTATCGAGGGGCGGTGGGGGCCCTGCTGGTTTACGACATCGCCAAACATTTAACCTACGAGAACGTGGAGCGCTGGCTGAAGGAGCTGAGGGACCACGCTGACAGCAACATCGTCATCATGCTGGTGGGCAACAAAAGTGACCTGCGCCACCTGCGAGCTGTTCCCACTGACGAGGCCCGGGCCTTCGCCGGTCAGAAGCTTTACTTTGTTTCAGCYGAGACAGTTTCAAATGTTACCTGATACTTTTCCTACAACTAAACATCTGACCTCATTCCTCTCAGCCTCGTCATGGCAACGTGAAAACAGAGTTTATTTATTTTTGTTAAATCTATTCTAATAAACCACTGAAATGTTACATTTCATCAGTCCTGAGCTGAAACATGCTGCTGCAGTTTCAGCATCAAGGACTTCACAGATCCTCTCAGCTGGGCCGGGTGTGATGGGGTTAAAGTCCWGGTTCTGACTGGTCCGCTTTAGGAAACTGAACTGTATAAATTCTGGTTTTAGTTTGATATTATGAGGTACTGAGTTGAAATGACTGCAGCTTCAACTGCRACATATTAAAACAGATAAAAGTTCAGTATGGAGAGCCGTTTCAGTCATTCATTCATTCTAAATAAATAAAGTAAATATTCCATCAAATACATAAATGTCCCTGTTATGGATTAATTATTTATATCTGTTCTACCTTGACACTGTCCAGTAATCAGATCTCATGAGAACTAGTTTCGGCTGTTTTACTC